AATGCCTCCCAGTCACAGCACTCCAGGTACAAGGCAAAATATCATTGACTCTCTGAGAAAGAAATGTTATTTAGACTATCTATCTCCCATACACCATATAATCCCCCCTCCCATTTTTCCCACAGTAGAAAATGTGGCAGGCCTCAAGGCCCAAAAGATGTAAAGGATAGCTTCCAGGCCTGACACCTGGTATCTTAACCATTACCAATATCAGATCTGTGTGCAGATTTCATTTCTTTTATTACTTTTATGGCATCCAAGTTTTAGCACCATCTTTTATTCAGAGGTAGTCTTTAAAGTGGGTACTTCGTTAGTTGGTGTCTCCTTCAACATATTAGATTAATATAGGCATTACCAAGCAGGACAGAACATACAGGCAGTTGGCCTAATCAAAAAATCAAATTCTTATCATTCCATGAGTTCCTTTTTGTGTAGGCTCAAAATGCATGTCAGTATTGCATGATTTTCTACTGAACTAAATTCTGAAGGATTCTGTTTATACAGACAGGGGAACATTCAGTGCAACTATTCCGTGGGCATTTTATGGTTCAACTGAGAAGTTAATTCAGTGTAGCCTCAATGAGATTCATTTTAAGAAAATAGTTTCCAAGGTAGATTACACATTAGATGCTCTCATCCTTTTCAAATAAAGTTAAATAAGTGTGATGATTTAAAAAATAAAATTACCTGACTTTAAATTGTTAGGACTTCTAACCTTCCTTTGTCACAAATGGAGATTGATGAGGACCTTTTCAAAAGACATTTTGTCACATGATACGATCAGGCTCAGTAATGCTATTTAAGAGATAGCATGGAACAGACTGGACTCCCAACCAAGTGACTTTAAATCTTAAATTTTGTCCTTCTAAGTCTTCTAATGGAGCACAATATAAAATACATTACCAAATATGGGCCTGCTCTATAGGTAGTACTGTTAATCTAACCAGAATAATAACATTATTTCGGGAAGGCACTTAAGACCATCTTGCAATGATGTAAAAAGTAACATGGATGAATCTTTTTTTTTAAAAAAAAAATCTCTTTTCTGAAAACAGAATCAGATATGGTAGCAAAACAATTTATTTGATTCAGTGGTAGATTGCAGACAGTATACACCAGTACGGGTGTACCGGAGCCAGCCTGGAGCACCAGATACTGTTCTGATACGGTGCTCTGGAGCGCCCACCCGCCCTCCTGAGCTCCTTACCGGAGTTTAAAGTCTTCTGCGCTTCTTCACAGGGCCAGGCGCATGGCACGTACAGCTCCTGCGTGATGCTCCAGGGAGCAGCTGGAGCGTCACAGAGGCGCTTGAATGCATGCACGCGCTACGTGCATGTGCACTGAACGCATCCATGAGGATGCCGCCTCCTCATGGACACGTTCAGTGCTCATGCACATGCGAGTAGCGCACGCATGCATTCAAGCGCCTCCGTGATGCTCCGTGACGTTCCAGCTGCTCCCCGGAGCATCGCGCAGGAGCTGTACGTGCCATGTGCCTGGCCCTGTGCAGAAGCGCAGAAGCCTTTAAACTCCGGTAAGGAGCTTGGGCGGGCGGGTACCGGTTGGAACGGGATTTGCAACCCACCTCTGATTTGATTATAACACTAGTAAAAAAACTCCTCACAGTTTTCAGAAAAAACTGCCCCTTTTGTACCTTCAAATTACCACCAAAGTGTGGAAGGCCATCCAAAGGAGATCTGGAATCTGTCAGTGAGTAGAATAATAGTAGAGCAATGAGAATCTCACTGTGTGCCAAGCTTAGAAGTTAACTTGTTCTTGAAACGATCACTCATGAGTAATATCTTTTAATAGTCATAATACTATTCAACATATCCAGTTATTGGAAACTAACATCTGCCAAATTCTTTCGTATTCCGTAATAAAATCTTCTTAAAGACCCCATGAAGCAAAGCTTCCAGTGTAAGGACATACATTTAAAATAGTAGCATTTGCTCCAAAGCCTGATTTCTGATACCTGTCACTTTATTTTATATGAATTATAATTAGCTGAGTATTGTCACTCAGAGAAAACCTACATAGCAACTCAATAGCTTAGAAAGTTAGGTGAAAAACAATAACGACATTTTGAATTTGTTATAAAAATAAGCTCCTTTTATCAATAATGTCAAAGCTACATGCAGCCCCCATAAAATTTTGATAGTGAAATTACAATTTTTTTTGACATGGAGGGAAAATTGTCAGTTTAGTTGCTTAATTAAAGTTAGATTTTACTGTCTCCAACATGCAGCTCTTGCCTAAAAAGTTGCACATCCCTTCTTTAAAAGGACTAAGTCCAAATAAACCTGATAATTTCCCAGGATTCTCTTATATCTTAAACAATTTGGTTCAAATGGATGAAAGTATTTCGGGTCGATGTAACTATCAGCCTCTTAAAAGAACTGCTTCCTCTTTGAATTCTAATAAAATAATTTATTTTCCTTTCATAAGACATAGTTCACTTATCTGCTTCTAACTGCTTAGCCTAGTTTGCCTGTTAAACATTGCTTTATGCTAGATTCAGGTTGCCTTGTTATAAGCCAGAACCCTAATGTACAGAGCACATTTTTTTCCTCACTTGGATAGAGTATATATTGGCTTTTAATGAAATGCACTGAGGTGGGAGATATCTCTCTGGTCTGTTCATTTAGATGATGAGGTAACCGTGGGGAAGTTCTATGCCACCTTTCTGATACAGGACTACTTTAGGAAATTCAAGAAACGGAAAGAACAAGGACTGGTGGGAAAATACCCTGCAAAGAACACCACCGTTGCATTACAGGTGACTTTGTTTTTCCTACACTTTAACTAACCATCTTGCAAGTTTATTAATAACCACAGGTAAAATAGCTGTAGATGCAATCAGCAATTCTACAAGGACTGTTCTTTGTAATGATGCCTGGGGCCCTTCAACATTAAGAGGAGTAATCTTATTTTTGCTGTGGGTTGAAAGGTAAGTGAAGAATATTTTAGAGAAGCCGCAGCAGATAGGATGAAGGTAGGTGTTACGTTTTTAAGATGCCAATCTCCACAACATCATGTATGAGAGCCGGGTTCCACGTGAATTTAAGTGGTGTGTAAGTAACCTTTCTATATGAACTGTCTTCTGCATACGTGAAGATCTCAGAAGAACCATTGACAATAGGAATAAAGAAGCTTGAAAATGTCCCTTGAGGGAAAAGAGACACCTCCAAATATTGTGAATGTACATGGATTTACCACACTTCTTATTTTCATGTGCACTCATTCCTAAACAGCAACATAATAGCTACACTATAAGATGTTGGAAGAAAGTATCCCATTAATTAAATCAACATGGACATAATGCTGCATGTTCTAGGGACAGATGAGTATGGTTGTATAGAAGCATTAATAAATCTAGCAAGGGCTTTTCTGCTTACATATATCTTTCCACCAATATGTGAAGCTTATGGGCATGATCATCCAGTGGAAAAAGCTGGCCTGCACTTATCCCATTCCCATTTGCTGAAAGATAAGGACATAAAGAGAGCTCTTTATGAAACATTGTTTGACAAAGGATGTAAAGCTTTAATTCAGGGTCTGCTAGAAGTAGAGATGGCCCTACCCTTGGGCAAAATGAGGACACCTCCTCGGGAAGCAAATCCTGAGAGGCAACAGTGAAATATCAGATTGTGTTAGGAAGCTTTCCCGGCAGTTCATAAGGTAGCCTGCTATCCTTAAAGAAGAAGATGGCAGATACTAGTTCATTGTCAGGGATGAAGTATGATATTACCAGCCAATCCAGCAGCCAAAGATGGAAGGATGAAGCAAAACTGTTTGTAAGAATATAGATAACATATATAAGTGCCATTGGTATGTGAACTGCAGGCTATATGTAACTCTTCAGTTTTGTGGTCTCAAAAGCAAATGCAGAATTGGTGTGAGGGAAAACTTTTTATGGTTGAAGTTTTTTAAGAAATTGGACAAGCAAAAAATCTCACCTTCCTCCTCCTTCAAATTACACACTCTCAAGATCTCTCTATATAGCCACGAAAAGTTGCTTCTGGGTTCATGCTCCTTTAATATCCCACACTGGCAAAATCCAGAACTGAAACACTACCAAATGCCAGTGTGCCTCACACAACATACACCATGTTCCCATTGATCAGCAAATAGAACTAATTTCATAATAAATCTCATTACTTTGGAAGATCTCACTTCTGCCATCCCAATAGTTCTGCCCAGCTGGCCTCTAACTCTGAACAAATAGAGACCCCCCCCCACCAACATAGTTCATCACAAAAAGGTTGCAGTGAGTCAGGGGAAGTTCTTCTCACTCACAATCCCCCAAAAGGATGGACGTGGCACAGTGGCACAGTGGTTAAAGTACAGCACTGCAGGCTACTTCAGCTGACTGCTAGCTGCAGTTCGGGAGTTCACATGTCACCGACTCAAGGTTGACTCAGCCTTCCATCCTTCCGAGGTGGGTAAAATGAGATCCCAGATTGTTGGGGGCCATAGGCTGACTCTGTAAACTGGTTAGAGGGGGCTGTAAAAGCACTATGAAGTGGTATATAAGTCTAAGTGCTATTGCTAAAGTTTAAAACTAAAAATGTAAAAAACTGAAATCCATATGTATGACATAAAGCCACATTTGCACCATTCAGTGCAGCTTCATTATCTAAAAGGTAATGGTCATTACCTTGGCTACTGATCAAATATTTAAGAATAATCCTGAAGAGAGAAAGAAGTAAGGCTGTTCAAACTGTCTGAGTTTTCTTCTTGATACACAGCCGTGGATGTAATATTGATATTTATAAACATTGATATTTTTAAAAATCATCATTTTTTGCATTCTCCTGTGGCACCAATAACTTCTCCCAGATCACTATTATATATAAAATCATTCAGATGGCTTAGTGAAAACACAAAGAAGCCTAGCAAGAATCTAATAAGAATAGGAAGACAAATATAGCAAGGAATATTTCAGGTTCTAAAAATTCCAGTGTCTACAAAACAGTGGTGGGTTGCAGGCGGTATGCCCCGGTACGAGAGTATCAGAGCCTGCCCAGAGCACTGGATACTGTTCTGGTATGGTGCTCCGGAGGGCCCACCTGCCAGCCCCAGGTCCTTACCTGTCTTTTAAGGCTTCCACACTTCTGCGCACACGAATGGCACGTACAGTGCCTGTGTGACGCTCTGTTGAGCAGCTGGAGCGTCGCGGAGGCAGTAAGATGCATGTGCGCGTCCATGTGGACGTCGCTGGGTCTGTTCCAACCGTATCGGAACCTACCACTGCTACAAAAGCACAGAATATGGAGAAGAAACAGGAAGAATGAGAAATCTAAGGCTGGAAAGAAAATATCATTTATAGTTATCGGTGAAACTTGGTTGTTATCTATGATAACAATGAAAAGAAATAGCCCAGTCCAAATGAGAGAAGTAATATTATACATAAAAGAAGTACATATGTTTAAGATATGGGAATTTGAGGCAAAGTCTGTTAGGAGGTGTACAAGATAACAAAAAGTGTACTAAATGACAAAAGGTGAGCTGAGCTATGTTGCCATTTGATGGATTAAGTTGGCTTAACAATTATGCTTAACCAAGACTTTGTGCTGCTCATTGTATGTATAAATGACTAAGATGAAAAAAATGTTAAAAATGATTATAAACTGCAGGTTTATATATAGCAAATACCTTTAGGCAATGTCCACATTTAAAGTGGACCTTAAGAAACAGAAACAATAGGGCCTGGAGAGGAGAGGTGAGATAATCAGTAAATAACCTTTAGTTAACTATAATAATAACAATGAAATGTTAATGGAC